AACAAGAGAAGCTTTTATTCCTGACACAGATGAAGGTAATCTCATGTATACAATTTTGGTAACAATAGATATTTGTTAATTATAATTTTGTGAAATCTAATTATGTTTGAAAAGTCTCGTTGAATAATACATGAGATTACAAAATATAATATATTAATAATGTTAAATAATGACATATAATATTAATAATTATGTATAAATTTTATATATGGAAATAATTATAATTTTAGGAAACGTTGCATCTGCCAGTACTAGAAATGATTCAACTCAGAATGAAACATCAAATAGAAATTCAGAGACTCGCAGAGCAGGATCAGATACGTCTAATGACGAATCTGATCGATATAAAGACGAAAGAGGTATTTTATACTCTTTTAATGTTTGTACCACTTGTTTGATATAATGTAAAATTTTAAATTGTGAAATAGCTGACTCGAATGAATGGAGAACTACTAATGATGAGGATGAATATGATGAGGAAGAGGAATATGAGGAAGAAATACCTTATTGTCTAAAAATAGAGAAACCACCTCCTAATTGGCGTATTGTACCGGAAATGATAAATCGACAAATAGGTAGCAATCCGTTATTTCAAAGAAGATTCTATGGCTCTTTACATGCAGTAGAGCGACTTGAGCTTATGTATAATCTTAATGAGCATCAGGTAATTTATTCACTTTGTAAATGCACATTGAGCTATACAATGTTTTATGTGATCATTATTAGACCATTTTTTTAATTATTATTTAGTGATATGTATCAATGTTTGATTTTTATTTATAGGGTTGTGTAAATGCCTTAAATTTCAATCAAAAGGGAAATTTATTAGCCAGTGCCTCTGATGATTTAGCAGTTGTTATTTGGGATTGGGCTGTAGGAAAAAAGCGCCACTGGTTTATGAGTGGCCATACAAGCAATATGTTTCAAGTATATACTTATGCACTTGTATAGTTAAAACATTGTGATTAGAGTATTTTATAATTATAAAGATTTATTGTTATTTATTTACATAATAATTATTTATCTTTTCTAATAATTTTTTTTTTATTTAATTGTTTAGGCCAAGTGGTTGCCATTAGATGTGGAATATCTTATGGTCACTTGTGCTAGAGATGGTCAGGTACGTTTGTTAGATCTTGAACACGACACATCGAAGAAATTGGCAGCGCATCGTGGACCATCGCACAAATTGGCTGTACATCATGAAACACCACATGTAGTCTTTTCTGCTGGAGAAGATGCGAGGGTATTCTCCATAGACATTCGCGAGAGCAAACCAAACAAGTAAGTCATTATCTATATATTAAAACATTTAAATATGTTTATTTTCTATTCATTATATAGTCTATAGGTCATAGTATATTTAAAAATATGTTAATTTTTCGTGTAATATATATTTGTGTGTGTATGTGAAAAGACCTCTTTATCCACAGATTACTTGTAGTAAAGGAAGGTTCATCAGAAGTGCAACTGTTCAGTATACATTCTAATCCTTTTAATAGTAATGAATTTTGCGTCGGTGGCCGTTCTCATTACGTGAGGGTATATGATCGGCGAAAAGTTTCGACGCCGCTTTATAAACTGTGCCCCGATCACTTGGTACGTCGTATTATTATAATTCTGTTATTGAAAAAGTTTACTAACACTTAATACAATAGAATAATGTGGCTCGTTTTTTCTTACATGTGTTTAATTTTACATATGTAATTTAAATGTCTCAGACAGGTAATAAGCACGCGCATGTAACGTGCGCTGTATATAATCACAACGGAACAGAAATTCTCGCGTCGTATAATGATGAAGACATCTACCTGTTTGATAGATTTATGTCTTCACATGTAGATTACGCTCATAGGTATCAGGGTCATAGGAATAGTGCAACTGGTACGTAGTATGCAATTATATAAAATACAATTATATTATATTTTATATATACTTTTATTCTAAATATTTTGATCTCTTTTTTTTATGTTGCAGTAAAGGGAGTCAATTTCTTTGGTCCTAAAAGCGAGTATGTTATATCTGGATCCGATTGCGGTAATATATTCATTTGGGACAAAAATATGGAAGCCGTTGTACAGTGGATGGCAGGAGATAAGCAAGGAGTTGTGAGTTTCCACACTTCATAAATTCGATGAATAAATTTTTCTTTTTCGCAGCGTAGGAAAGAAAGTGGTTTTCTTTTTTTAATTTAATTTATAGGTAAATTGCTTAGAGGGACATCCTCATATTCCCATTCTCGCGACAAGTGGATTGGATTACGATGTTAAGATATGGGTGCCTTCGTGTGGAGAACCTCCAATGATGAAATCACTCGCGAATGTATGTAGAGGCAAAAATCATCTTTCTATGTCTTGTGTTTTGCGTTTCTCTTTATTTTATCATATCATTTAATAATAATTTTTATATCGCGAGCGTGTTCCTGAAATAAGAATTGAATACACTGAATACAGAAGACTAATTGCATTTCGATGAAAGCATGATTCACGTGTTTTGTTTTTTTTTTTCACAAGTGCGTCAAGTCCAACGCAAGGAATCGGAAACAAGAAAATGTGCCTGATTCATTCGACAGCCAATTACTTTGGATGTTACTACGACATATCCATAGAGAAAGAGTACGTGTAAGTAATATATATCGGACACTTGTCGATATCGAAAACTTGACTATGCCATCGTGTTTTTTTTTTTAGAATTTTTATACGCGTTACGGACTCGAGGATCCAAATCGATACGAAGATGATGACGAAGATTACCACTTTGATGACTCCTCGATGGACAGCTCGTCCGAGGACAGCGATAATCAATCGGAAAGCGATGTTCGAAGAATACAATGTCCTCCGTCTTAAAGTTGTTGCTTAATGTGATTTGATATTAATACGATGAGAGTTATATAGCGTTCAAGGCATTCATATTAGTCGTTTCAATCGATTATAATAAATTCTACTGAATAATTGTCAATAGCTTGACATAGCGGAGTGTATAGGAGGGGGCAGTATCGCAACGTATCAAAGAAACTGCGTATTCTAGTTACGATTGATCTTTTTTATCAGTTAAATATAATCAGTAGTGACCTACATAAGTTGATTTACAGTTGTATTGTAATTTTTGAATATATACGTTGAACGGACACGAAGACTATGTTTTTAGTGTACGATATTAGGAGATAAACGGAGAAAGAGAGAACAAGATAGTATTTTCTAATAAGTTGCAAACACGTAATTTATAAAGCTAGGAAAAACGCATAAAATGTGAAAACGTTTGATATAATTAACAAACGTATTTATAGGAATGTATATTCTCCGCAGGACTGTTTTTTTAAATTTGGTTTATACGTTATATATCTGTTTACGCCCTTACATATGTAATATATGAATATAACAATCATATTTCTAAGAAATCACGATGCTTTTTGATTTACAATTACATATTAATATTAATTTATTTGAATACTTCAGAAAGTCGAATTTTTGCTGAATAAACGCATGAAGACAAAATTGTGTGTGTGCGTGTGTGTGTATGTGAATAAAACCCTTTTATTTCAAAGTTTGTAATATTTCAGAACACTTAGTATCGAAGTTGCGTGTAAGATAAAATATACATTAACAAATTTTTTTTTAGGAACAGTTAATTAAAGGAAAAGCAATTGCAGAGGAACATTGCAGGAAATTGCGGGAAAGCGATAAAGACAAATGTCGGTGATAGAATTTTGATTATAATTCGGATATTTTTTATGCAAGAGAAAGGATAAATCAAACTTCGATTAAAATTTAATGACTATAAATTTAATATCTGCGTATTCTATCGTCGTTATTAATTTGTTTTTGTTGTGTTCAACAGATATACAGTTTAAATTACAGACAATGAATTGTATAGAACTGTAGAATTATATATTAACTTGTGTTAGGAATAATTCTGAATTGTTGATAATAGTTAATCGGAGTTAAAATATATTTCTACCATTGTAAAGTAACTTTCAGTTAAACTTATTTTTTTCTTATTTTAATTCTATGATTCATATTCATTTCTACCAATGTAGATTAACTTTAATCTCGGCTTAATTTACTTTTTGTTTAGTTCTAAGCGTGAAAAAAGATAACGAGTGACTTAAACCGAGATTAAAGCTAATCTACATTGCTAGAAATGATCATTAGAAAAAGATGAACAGTAAGTTAAACCCCAATTCTTTTAAAATTAGGAAAAGATAAAAGGTAAATCGGATTAATTTACATTTGCTCGTTTTTACCAATGTAGATTAATTTTAATCTCGGTTCAACTTACTCTTCATCTTTTTTCAATAAACAATAATACAGAGTAATTAAAAACGGATTCTCTCACAATATTGAAAATACAAACCAAAATAAATATAAAACAGCTAATAAGAGTCAGCGCGGTTATCGCAAGATAATTATAACAAAATTAAATACTTAGTAGTTAAAATGATGTCTTTTATTTGAACGATTTTTTTTATATTTAGAATTTAAAAAAGATGAATATATTAGTTGAACCAAATATTAAAATTAATTAAAATTAAATAATATTAAGCAATATATAAACAAGATAAGTCAAGGTCAAATATTAAAACGAGCACATTCACAAATGGCTGATAACAAATGATTTATTATACTGTTAATTTGTTAAACAACATGGATGCGCCCAATGGGCGAGTTCAAGTCAGCAAAGCGGCTAGATCTGCTCGTCGAGCACTTAAACATGGTTGGTTAAATCCACATGTAATAATCATGTTCATTCGCTCGGTAAGGATTGGTAAGAAATGATAAGCATGCCTAGCCACTTTGCCGTCTCGAACTCGTCCATTATTAACAACGTTACAAGTGGATACGAGAGGAACGTTGGTATTTTCGGGCAACCATATATAGCGCGATCGAGGCAGTCGCCATCTCGCGGCGGCGCCGCGCGATCGGCGGGAGGGGGTTAACGGCGCGCATGACCAATCGGTCGCGTCCGTTCTCTCCTATCCTCGTCTGCCCCGTCGGCTGGCTTCTAGGCTTCTACGCGTAGGAATATCACTGACGTGTCCCCTGTGCGGAGATCAGCTACGTACGTGCGTGTAATTCGTCGACTCGCTTCGACGATAATCCTCGCCTTCCCCGCGTGCATAGGAATTAGCCGGGCAATACCGCCAGTCATTGAGCTGCGTGCGAGCGGAACGTTTCGTGCGACGCGTTGATTATCAGTGGTGAGTCCAGTCTAGTGAACCAGCCCGGAGAGAGCCACAACCCCGTTTGGGCGCCAGCGAGTCGAAAGTGACGGCAAAATTATGGCATCGACATCAACTCTGAACCTCAACAGTTTCTTCAATGTCTTCAGCAGCACGCTGTGAGTATCGCGTTCGCAAAATCGTAACGAAAAGATGAACGAGCGACGTAATTAGGAGCAAGATATGTTATGCGATTCTCTTTTTCTCTCTCTCGCTCTCCCCTCCTCTTTTTCTCTTCCTCTCGAGAAAGTCTACGAGACTTGAATCCCATGATGCAATTTCACAATCACGGGGACAATCTTGTTTTTTTTTTTATCTCCATATCTTACAGAAGAATAGCGGTTATCATAATTCATGATAATACGTCGCGTCGTCACGTATTCGTGCATGACCTTCGATAGGTGTTCTGGAATGACGACGGACATCGTTGATCCGTAGATATCGCGACGCATCTGCATCTAGTGAAAGCGAAAGACGCTAAAAGTATGGCATCGGAGAGATTTCGCGATTTTTCTCGATGACATACCGATAATAACGTCCTCGACAGTAGAGAGAGAGAGAGAGAGAGAGAGAGGCCGATTTCAATTCCATCCCCACCTCGTCTAACGTTATTAACGTGGCGATAAAGTTGGGACACCCTGTATAGAGTTCTTTTTTTCCAGATTGTGCATGTTGTTTTTAGCCGTGTTGCGTCGTGCCTTTCGCACTTGGAACGACAAGGACCGACTCCGATCAAACTCCGATTGCCATGTTGGCGATTAATTTACTGAACCGATTTTATTCGCCCTGCTTCATCACCATGTATAGAATTATTGATTTTTCTTTGTTTTTAACATAAACGGAGAAAAAAAGAGTCAGTTTTTAAAGGTCGAATTTGTCTAGTAAGGATTTTGCCTTGGGCGATTCTTATCCGATTTCTACTGTTTAGATTAATTTTAATCTCGGTTTAAAGTCTTGCTCCATGTTTGTGTCTTCTTTTTGTCTCTTTCAAATTTTTAGAATTAGAAAAAAAATAAGTTGAACCGGGATTAAAATTAATCTATACATATTTAATAGAGATGGATATCTGTTGGTTGAACTACCTAATTATAGATATCAAGTTAGCCAAGGTTTGTCGTCTTAGATCTGATTACGAAAAAAAGGGATAGAAGACATAAATTTCGAGAGAGGAGAAAAAATTCTCCTTGGACTTGGAAGAATGTGTGTGTAGAAAGAGAGGGGGGGAAATGACACAGTGAGAAGTACTTCCGTTTTTAAGAATGTTCTTTTGGGTTGATCTTCACATCTTGTCTTGTTCTATTGTCTATTTTTATTATATAATAATCTATGTGAAAACAAAATAGTACCTTTTTTTAGAGGATAAAAAAAATGATTAATTAAATTTTTTTTAGTATCGCCAGCAACGATTGATTTATTGATGCTTGTAGAATTTTCTTAATATGGATACAATAATTAGTTTTTTGTTGATTTGTGTAATATATCACTGCATGATTAATTAGTGAGATCATAAATTATTTATTATTTATTTTATTTTAATCCTTACCTGACGGCTTAAAATGGCTTCCACATACTTCATACTTTACATTTTATATCTATGTATTCTTTTTATATATATTTATGATTTATACATACATTACACTTTTGTATATTTTTCAGCCAAACAAAATGAACGAAATTAATTTTACTTAACTTCTTTGTACTCTCTTTGTGTAAACTATTTTATATTGTTCAATCTTATTTAATCTATATTTTGGAATAATAATAATGGACTAATAGACACTTGTATAAACTATATGAAAAATTTCTGCAAATTTAAATTGCTACATTTATTTCTTTTTTCAATATTAAGTAGTGAACTATTATACTGTTGCTATAACTAAGCAAATTCTCTCCTTTTTTTATTTCTTCCGTTCTATTTCCTTCCTAGCATTTCTCTTAATTATTTCCAAGCTTTTCCCTTTCCCTACAAACTCTTCTTCTCCAGTTCATTTTTGTCGCTTCACACTCCCTTAGAATATGGAACATATTTTCCTATATTACCTATTATATTTAACATCTATTTTCCGTTCTTCAAACTATTTTATATATATA